GGTAGGTAACTCACTGTGGTTTCAATTTGCATTTCTCTAATGATTAGTGCCATTGAGCATCTTTTCATATGTCTATTGGCCATCTATATGTCTTCTCTGGAGAAGTATCTATTCTGGTCCTCCTTCCATTTTTTAAATTGGATTGCTTATGGGTTTTTTTGGTGTTGGGCTTTATAAGTTCTTCAAAATTTTGGATATTAACCCCTTTATCAGATGCATCATTGGCAAATATCTCTGGGAAGTCTATTTCTCAAAGATAAATACTTCTCGAATACCAAGTTACATTTAAAAAAAACACCCACTTAGTGAAATTAAAAGAAATCCTACAGCCATCTACAGCTTTTTCCCATAATACTTGACGTCCATTAACCAGTTATCTAACTGTATTACAGAGTTCTTTTATGCCTGTTTAGAATTCTTGAAGTCACATCTATAACTCCACCCTAGTGCTAGGCCAGGTCCTTCAGAGACCTCAGAGTAAAGGTCTATAATTCACTTCCATCGGAATTATCTGGAGGATGTGTCAAAATGTAGATTCCTACAGACTGACAAACCTCAAAAAGAAGGGGGGGGGGGGGTGGAGGGATTGGGAAGAGATAAACCAAAGAACTTTATGCATATATACATAACCAATGGACATAGGCAATAGTTTGGGGAAAGCAGGAGGGGGGTGGGAGTGAGAAGGAGGAGGTCAATGGGGGGGGGGGAAAGGGGGACATCTGTAATACTTTCAACAATAAAGATTTTTTTTTAATTCTTTAATATGCAGATTCCTGGACCCCACCCCACACATATATAATTAGTATGATATTTGTAAGGGGACACAATATTTGTAACAGCTCTGATAGGGCCTTCAAACTGGAGGTAATGAATCTAAAGGCATACATAAACTAAGAGTTATGGGCTGATATATTTTCTACTTACATTATTATTGGAAACTACTGCCATAAAATTGAACAAAGGGGAAAATGTCACCCTGGCTAAACCTCCACCTTACAACAGAAACAGCATATGACTATTTTATCCTCAAGTATTGTGACAGTACATATCTCATGTATTTTCATTGAATCTAAGTGAAAATTGGGGGATTTCAAAACTAAGAGACCTTAGAAGTTATACCTTGTGTAAAATAAGCTGAAAAAAAATATGTACCAAAGATATGTTAAAAACATAAAGGCCTGAACAATCACATGTGTTATTCCCATCATTTATTTAAACAAAAGTAAAAGGTTAATATTTAGCACCTCAATTTTGTTTTCATAATAAACACATTCATTACATTTTTAATAAAAAAGATTTTATTTCAAAGAGTAATTTTAAATATATGAAATATAAAATTATTGTAGTTTTACAAGTAATTTACTTTTGATCAATGCATGAAGATTTTACATCTATAAGTAGAAATACAGTAATATATTTTAAACAATATCAAACTATAATTTAAAATTTCACATATTATTTAATGGGCTTCTAAAATTCAAGCTCAAAAAAAAAAGAACATACTATGATTTTTATAAAAGAGATAAACTTATCCCCTCCCCCCCAAAAAAGTGGACTATTTTACATGTATATAGCCAATATCTTGTATGACACAAACAGTTCAAAATATTAATTGTTTACTTAAAACCATCTTTCAAAATTTTTTAAATTTCTTTTTTGTTACAGCTTCAAAAACATTTATGGCTGTGTTTAAGTCTTACAGAGACTTAATGTCTCCAATTGAAAAAAAGATGTCATATCCAATTTTCACCCTTCTAACTGATAATAATCATGAGTCATTTCTTAGAACTTTAGAACTTGGTCTTCAGATAACAGGTATGGACAGGCTGTGCCATTTGTACACTTCACAACCTGAGAAACATTTTATAACCATGACATGTGTAAGGACATGTAATTACTTTGATATCTCTTTCAATGTGTGTCAAGAAGATACTGAATGTGCGTTTTCACACAGAGCACTAATATTTGGGACTATAAGTTGAACAGCATCTCCTCCCTCTTTATTTACTCAAAGCTTCCAAACTATTACTTCCATCTGAATAACAGAAATACTATTGGTATCCATATATTTTTAGATGTCTCAGAGAGTAAGAGGATCATTATATGATCAATCTTTTACATCTTTGGTGAATAACTGTGTTCTATTTAGAAGAACCATCATTTTGAAAACATCACTTGCAAATGGAATTCATTTTGCTACTATGTAGGTAAGCAATGATAGCTGACAGATATCAGGAAAGCTCTCTCTATATTTGATGGTCTATAGCAATAACATGGGTCTGAATAAAGTATGCTTTACTTAGAAAATATCTATTTATTAAAGTTACAGGGGAAATATTGCAAATTAATAATCATTTGGAAGCCTAGCAGGTATGGCTCAATGGACTGAACATTGTCCCAGGGACTGAGTGGTCCCATATAGATTCCTGGTCAGGTCATATGACCAGGTTGCAGGCTCAATCCCCAGTGTGGGGTATGCAGAAGGCAGCCAATCAATGATTCTTTCTCACATCAATATTTCTCTCCCTTCCTCTCTTTCTCTAAAAAATCAATAAAAACATATTTAAAAATCTTTTAAAAAATAATTTGGAAAAATTAAGTTATCCTTAGTTAATTGTCTCTATTTAGTTAGTCACATTATGATATTGGATATAGCAGTCCCTAACAAATTATATATAGAAGCCTCAAGCAGTTAACTGATTCCTGCTTTAATAATTGAATTCTGAAAGAGTTTCACAACATATAATTATATTTCTGAAACAGCACAGAAACCCAAAACGCAGAACAAGAGAAAATGACAGAGGCCTTCTGAAAACTTTTAGTGGTGCCAGTGAAATGGTATGTTTTAAATACTTACAGGTATGATTTTCCTCACTGTAGAAGCAGAAGGGCAGCCCACACTATTAGACCGTGACGACTGAAAGGAGAGTGTGCCCCTTGTGTGCACTGAGAGTCACCAAAAAGCACGACGTTCACAAATAGACATATTTTCAGATAAGGGAACAAGACGACATAAAGAAACTGACCCTGTTATCAGTTTAGCAATAGAGGTGAGAGATGAAGACATTTGAAGGAAAAGTCTATTAGTCTTAAAGCACCTGTGCCAAGTTGAGGCCCTTAATAATGATAACTGCCCATTTAATGTTGACTATTACAGTTACTGCTATACGTGGGCATCGGTACCTTACACACCAAAATCCTAGAAAGATCGTGGTGAGCACACTCCCTATGTGAATTTGAGATTCCATAAATCACAGGAAATCCACACCAGGTGTCAGTTTTCATGCATGCCCCAAAAGGAAGAAACAGACATCCATCAATAATAAACAATGACTTGTCATTTCAAATCTAACTTCTAGTGCCAAGAAATATGTTTTGTTGTTCAAACTAAAATGTTCCCATGGGCTTCCTAAATCATCCAATAACTTTCCCATCCCTAAAAATATTAGTTCTTTTTTTGTGCATCCTTCTAAGAGAGGTGATGTTAAGAATTAATAGTGCTTTGAGGACTTCAAAAAAAAAAAAACATGAAACAAGTAGCAACAAACTATAGCCTGTGCTGTATCCTATTTTCAAATGATGGGCAAGAGCAATAAGATGATTCACATTCTATTACTTTTATTACCCATTAATGACTAAAACAGCTTCTGTGCATGTTCAGATTAATGAGGCAGAGAGTATCATCTACGTACGTGAAGGGGAGTGGATGGCAGCAAAAGTAAAACTGCACCAGAAAACAAGAATTATCTAAGCACTAACCCAGCATGAAAAGGGAACTACTTCTAATTTCCTAAAACACATCCCTCCCAGGTTATCATTTCTGATTTCCATGGTAGCACATGGCATTTTCCATCTAACACTTCAGAAGAATGCATGGTCATACCAGGCTCTGCCTTATTACATGATCTATGTTGAAACCACTGATTTCCATTTCTCTTACTTTTGGAAAATGTCAAATGAAAGTGATAAGACCATCATTTACCCTCGATTTTCTCAATAATGTAAGGTTTTAGAAAGGGTCTTTTAGAACTCTAAAATAATAGTCTAAAATATTTTCTCAAGACTCCATTCTTTATTTTCACTTGGGGTGGAAGAGGAATCTATTTCTGACAGTTTCTCCTCTAAAGTTTAGGGGGCTTAAAAGATTGCTCTTTCACCCAGAATGTGTTCTTAAACATAGTTATTTTCTGAGTAAATCTCTTTCAAAAGAAAAGTTTTACAAAGACTATAAAAAGTTTCCCTGGAGTGCTTATAAAATAGAGTAGGTTTGGGTGGGGAAAAAAATGATATTTTAAGAACTGTTTTACAAAAATCAAGTGTCAGTGTCTTCTACACTACCTGCCCTTTTCACCCTTCTTCCACATGTGCAAACAAAAACACAGCATAATAGATTTCAACAACAGGTTTCAAGAAGCAAAGCTGCAATTTCCAAAGGAGTAACACATAAAAGTCATTCAACCCTTGTTTTATAAAGAGGGAAAGTAGACCATAGACCTCAACAGGCTACAGAAATCTTCCTCCCCTTACTCAGTGGATTAAAAATTAAAACAATACTTCTAGACCCACAGTAGGTATAATTCACATTTCATTTCCTGAACATTTTCTATTCAAGCTAGTATAACCAAATGAAGGTGCTATGAAGCACATCTTATGTCAATCCTAATTTTCACGGCATTAAGATTTTGCAAAAGAACTACAAAGCTACTGCAATCAACTACTTACATGTGAAAAACAAAACATGGGTATTAATGGGAAGCAAAATCATCTGTCTAGAAATACTCCCTAAAACTTACTTTAATAATAACTTTTGAATATTAAAATCAACCAAATTTTAGGTAATTTATCTTAAGCATACTATACATTCAACTGCATTAAAAAGTACCCAGAAATCAAAATTAAATTTCAAAAAAAAAATTTTTTTAATGTATTCCTTATAAATAAAACCAAACCAGAGTCTATACAGTGTCTAAAAGCAGATCCTGCAGGTGTGTTGTTTTTTTAAAGGAACAGTGGATCATTTCTGCAGTGATGGACCATCCACATCATAATCCCCCTCGTTTGGCATCACCAACGGCTCCCCAAACATCAAAGACAAATTCATCGGGGAATGCAAAGTCTCCAAGAGTCTTGTCAAGTGCCACAGCGAACTCATCTGGATTGCCTTTGTCCTTTCCAGCTTCAAATATTGTGGTAGCTATCAAAAATAAAATTTAAAAATTATTGATGTATGAGACAGCATCAGAGGACTGAGAAAAATAACACCAGAAAAACTACTTTCTAAAGCAGCGGTTCTCAACCTGTGGGTCACGACCCTTTCACCCGGGCTCCTAAAAGCACCAGAAAACACTTATTTCCCATGGTCTTAGGAGCTGAGACACCGCTCCTCTATCCGTCTCCAGGCGGGCCTGCCCACATGCAGATACGCCCACATACAACATGAGGAACTGTATTATAGGGTTGCAGCAGTAGGAAGATTGAGAACCACTGAAGGAAGCATGCATAGATATCACATATTTCTAGTACAAATTAAAACAATAAGATACTCTCTGTCATATAGCAAGGTAGCAAAGGCATTCTTTTTTTTCTTTTTTTTTTATCCTTACCAGAGGACATTTTTTGCATGTATCTTCAGGTAGAGCGGGAGGGAGAGAGGGGGGAAGAGAGAGAGAAACATCGATGTGAGAGAGACATATCAACTGGCTGCCACCCACACAACCCCAACCCGGGCCGGGGAGAAACTGCAACCAAGGCACATGCCCTTAGCGGGAACTGAACCCAGGACTCTCTGGTCCATGGGCCAGCGCTCTAACCGCTGAGCCATACCGGCCAGGGCAGCAATGGCATCATTAAACAATCTGTCCACTGCACCCAGGTTTGTAGCTGTGGCCCCTACCCTCTTCTCCACCGTGGAGCCCTTCGGTGGGATCTCTGGCACTCCTACCAGTGGAGCAAGAACTCCTGCAAGAAAAACCTTGTGGCTCACCTGCCAGGGAACTGAGGGTACATCCCTTCCTCCACCTCCCCACAGTCCCTAGCTGTCTCTGCATCTCTACCAGCACCCATCCTCAACTATGATGGCACCTCGCCCTCCCTCCCCAAAGGAAACGAGACAAAGGATAACAGCTTGCAATGGGTCGGTCACACCAGGGAGAAGGGTAGAAAGATGTCCTTCTACTCATGGCATCAAGGTAACATTCTCGGAGCTCCTTTCCAGTTTGGGATAGAAAATGAAGATGGTGCCCTTGTTCTGTTTTTCTAGTAAGTTGCCTAGAGAACTAGCTCCTCCAGGAGAACACATTCCAATAGGAACTGCCCCAGCTGGCTGGGGGTCCATGAAGCTCAGCCGGTGTTTCTGTCAACTCCCTAAAAGCACTAGCAACTGGGAAAGAGAGAGCGTGGATGCGATTTGGGACTTTGGTGAAGAACCTCCAGGTAAAAAGGAAACATCGAATCCCAGCCTCTCCTTTCCTCCCAGGTTAAGGTTGAAGGAATCAAAGGTTGTATGATTTCTCTGAATGAGCAAGAGGTCTAGTCTTTCAGCTAAAACTCACCAGCGCTCTTAAGAGCATGTATGAATTATTCCTCATCTCAAACAGTTCAGTACTAACACAGAGAGGCTATGGGGATGGGGGTGTTCCACAGAAGGGCACCACAATCAGAGCAGAAGTGGGATGTGGACAGGGTGACCTAGAGCAAAGATCAAAGCCCTAGTTAGGTAAGGAAGCTTCCACATGGCTAGACAGCCCAGTGTGGGGGCGAGTCCAGGTGTGGCAAGGACAGCATGGGGCGGGGAGAAGGGAAAACAGCAGCCATGCTAATGAGTGGTTGCATATATGGGACTGATCACATAAATACAACACACACATATAGAATAATGAGAACCAGGTTTGTCACTGTCAAAGATAAATAGGAAAACTAGAATGAAACTGGAATTATAGAGATCAGTGGAGATATATATACACACACATTTCAATAGAGAGATTAAAAACATGGAGGTAAATACATGTGCACACATTCTCCCCTGGTCCACGTGGGAGCAGTGAGGTCCAGTAGCAATGAACACACAAAGCACACAATGGCTCTTACAGATCATTCTCCACTCAGAAGTCTCCGAGTTCCCCAGAGAAATGGCTGACTCCAGCGCCAGAGCAGGCAAAGTACAATATGAACCAAGAACATCTTCTACCAGAAAGGAAGAAAGTGTCAAAAATGGTTGGAACATGAAAAAGGCACAGAAGTCAGAGTGAAGAGCTCCCACTGACCAAACCAGAAACAATCTGAGCATCAAAATTAATAGTATGGTAATGGATTAGAACCCCATCAAACAAAACAGGAAACCATGAATCCAAAATAAAATTATTAATTGACTGACTGACAGACAGATGGAAGGAAGGAAGGAGGTTGATTCATGAGGAACAGGATATTGACATACATTGAAAATATCTCCACCAAATACACATTAATCCCAAAGAAAAGGACGATAAAGCTTAGCAAATACCACCTTAAACAAGTCATCAACATGAACAATATCAGTAGTAGAACAAATTAAAATCCTATGCCTCCTGATAAGATGTAATGAAAAGAACATGCATCCCATGTGTGATATTTCTGACGAAGAGGTGTAACCTACATGAAGTGTGAAAAAAATAGATAAACCAACATTGAGGGACACTCTATGAAGTAACTGACTTGTGCCCTCCAAAAGCATCAAAGTCATGAAAATCGAGAGTAAGAAACCATCTCAAATCACCACTACAGGTCAAAGGAACACATGACTTTGAACCTGCTCCTTTGCTGGAAGGATATTGAGACCTCTGATGAAACCAACAGGATATGAATAGTAATGCATCAAGGTTAATTTCATGATATGAATGGTTACATTGTGGTTAGATAAGAGAATAACTTGGACTATAAATTATTTTTGCATTTACTTTTAATTATAGTTGATGTACAATATTATATTAGTTTCAGATGTATAGCATAGTGATTCAACATTTACCTACCTTACAAAGGGATCACCACAATAAGTCTAGTAACCATCTGTCACTGCACAGAGTCATTACAGTATCAATGAACTCTATTCCCTCTGCTATACATTATATCTCCATGACTTATTTTATAACTAAAAGTTTGTACTTCTTAACCCCCTTTCCCTTTGTATAGGAAATACACACTGAAGTATTTGAGGCAATGGGATATCATCAAAGTAATAAATTCCCAAATGGTTCAAAAGAAAAAAGTCTTTGTACTGTTTTGGTTACTTTTCTGTACGTTTGAAATTGCTCCAAAAAATTTTTTTTGAAAGCAGTAAAGTGTAAGGAGGCATTGAATCTCTTCCACTCATCATCATCCCACCCTCTCCCAGCTTGCCCCAGGCCCCAGCCATGCCCCAGAGCTTCTCCATTTATCACTGACCCGGAAGCAAACACCTCAAAGAGGAGGGGAGTCCTGGGCTGCACCTGCACCTTCTGCTCCAGGCAGGGCCCAGCCAAGTTTATTAAAACTCGTATGTATTATTTTAAATGGCATGCCAAAGCTGGCCAGGATACAGTGAAGCAGACACTCCTACACTGGTTTGACTTTCTAATTTTGGCTTTTGAAAACCCATTTGGCAACAAGTATCAGAATCCTTAAAAATGTTCATATCCTTTGATCAATGAACATTTCTACTTCTAGGATTCTATACTTTTTCCTTCCAGTTATGTTGAGATATAACTGACATATATCACTATGTAAGTTTAAGGTGTATAACATAATGATTTGACTTATATACACAGGGTGAGCAAAAGTAGGTTTACAGTTGTGAGTCCACAAAACAATCTATTCTTGTATTATTTTTTATTAATTATTATATTATTTATTTATGTTACAACTGTTAGATCTACTTTTGCCCATCCCTGTATATATGATGAAATAAATACCACAATAAGTTTAGTTAACATCCATCACCTCATATGGATACAAAAAGTGAAAAAGAAAAAAATATATTTTTCTCCCTGTGATGAGAAATCTTAGGATTTACTCTCTTAACAACTTCCCCACAGGCCAACTGTAGTCATCGTGTTGAACAATACATTCCTAGTATTTACTTATAACGAAGTTTGTATCTTTTTACCACCTTTATTCAGTTTCCCCATCACCCACTCCCCACCTGGGTTTGGTTTTTTACTAGATTCCAAATATAAATGAGATCATATAGTAATTTGTCTTTCTCTGACCAGCTCAGTTCAGTTAGCATAATGTCCTCAAGGTTCATTTATATGGTCACAAATGGTAGGATTTCCTTCTTTTTGACAGATGACTATCCCATTACACACATACACACATACACCACAACTTCTTTATCCATTCATCTGTCACAGGCATTTAGGTTGTTTCTATGTCTTGGCTATTGTGAATAATACTGCAATGAACATAGGAGTGCATATATGTCTTAAACATAGGGTTTTCATTTCCTTCAGAGATAAGAAAATCTTCCCAGCCAGTGTGGCTCAGTCACCAGTTTGATTCCCGGTCAGGGCACATGCCCAGGTGTGGGCCAGATCCCCAGTGAGGGGCATGCAGGAGACAGCCAATGTATGTTCTCTCTCATCGATGTTTCTATCTCTCTTTCCCCCTCTCCCTTCCTCTCTCTCTAAAATCAATAAAGAAAAAAAAAAATTTTAAGAAATAAGAGAATCTATGCTTTTTTAACATCTTAAAAACAGAAAATAATTTAGCATAACAAATGGACCTAAGGGTATTAAAAAAAAAAAAAAAACCTAAGATTCTGGATCATTAAGTTATTTCTGGTATGATGAAATATTTGATGATATATTTTTAAATCATTTTAAACAATGTTTATGAATAACTTTGTAATAACAGGGAAATATTTTTGTTTTAATATTTACTGAAAAAGCAATACATACATTTCACATTACAATCACAACTATGTTTTTACAACAATCTCTATATAGGATGGAGAAATGGACAAAGATGTGATAAAGCAATTGTAATAAAACAGTATTGGTAGAATCTAGGTGATAGGTATAGAAGTACTCACTAAAAAGTCTTTCAACTACCCTGTGTGTTTGAAAATTACCATAATAAAATATTAGGGAGAGGAACCTCTACACAGACAATAGAAGAAAACTTAAAATACAGGAGATACATTCAAATTAAAGAGCAAGTTTGTTGTCGTTTAAGTTAGGACCT